GATCTTCATACAACATATGTTATTAATGTAGACAGCATTATTTACGGTGTCTTATCAAAACTTAAAATTATCTTTTTAACTTCATAAGAAAATAAAGAAGAAAGCTTAGAAATTTTACAGAAAAGGTAATTTCTAGGAGAACCTCCTTTAAATTAATAGCTAATTTATAACAGATCAGATAATACCTAAATGAGCAAAATTTACAAGCCATCATTATTTATAGAAACAAATATAATTATTAGAATCTATAATATTTTTAGCAAACGTGTAAAGTTAGTTGCATAAAAACTTCAACAGATTGTACGTATAAATTATAACTACTCGTATTTTAAATTATATTGTAACAAGCGGCAAAAATAGTTAACGTTAAAATTCGTCGACAGCGTCCATAAGAAAGTTTTAACCCGATCGTTGGTGTAGTGGTAGCTATGTATGGCTAATAATCAACTCGTTTCGATTTCAGTCTGTGGATTTCCGAATATCCAAAGCCAACGTAGAGCGACAGCACATCTAAGGATTATTTGACTTGAGATTATTTGACTCTGTGTCTGAGGTATATATAATATATATATACCTCAGACATATATCTATAGCAATTGTTGACACCTGCGTAGCAGCTTGAAAAACTTCAAAGTGGTATACAACCAGCGCTGGTTCTATTAATACCGATGATATCTTTTAAGACAACAAAGCTTCAAGTGAAAATGTATATTCTAGAAAATTAAATCCCTAAATGCGCCAATCAATATAGAAAACAATTACGTTAGACACGTTAAAAGTAAGGTATTGGATAGTACGAGAGAAGACTCACCGAACCTCTTGATAACCTGCGTAGTTGGAGGATTCACAATATATTCACTTTTCCTGTCACTCTTGCAGCGTAAATGGGCAAGAGGCAAAGGCAAAGCAGTAAGTAAAGAAAAGCGCGTTGTTCTGCGACCGGAATTTAAACACTCGCAAGTGGGTGAGGCAAGGGAGAACACATATTAAAAAAAACGAATCTTGAGTGTTAGGTAAGCAATGATGTAGGGTAGGATTAGGATATTACAATTAATCGTGTCTACCCTCATTGCCCACATTAATGGCCCAAACAGAGGCCAGGCAAATAACGAAACGCGTAAAAACTAACCTTCTAAAATCCCAAACAATATTAAAATTGCATCACGAGCGTATTATGTTAAAATCTGTGCCAGCGCCGCAGTGCATTATCATTTAAACTAATTCGTTCGAGTTCGTTGTGACATGCATACTGCATTAGTGCACCTGGTCAAGTTATTTTATTTGTGCTTATTTACCAGCTAGCTTAATACTATTTATGAAATATAGAAGCAAACCACGGTAATATATTTATTAAGTAAAATAATTATTGTTATTCTGAAGTTAGGAGCCTAGGAAACGCCATGTATACCGATTACCGACTAATATTATAAAGCTGAAGAGTATGTTTGTTTGAACGCGCTAATCTCAGGAAGTACTGGTTCCAATTGCAATTATTTGGGTGGTAGCTAGAGCATTGATTCAGATAGCCAAATGCCAAATACGCTGCGAGCGAAGATACAGCGGGTAATGTGGAACAAACGGGAAAAAAATATTATTATTTATTAGTCCCGAAGAGACTTAGATCCGCATTGGTATGTAATAATAACGTTACATATCAAATTCCAACACTACTGTCAATTGAGTTATCAATTCAAAAACATTAACTTAAAAATTAAAAGAGAACAGCAAGGTACGCTGCTTCCTGAGTGTTCGAATCCCGCCTGCATCACAGTTTTTTGTAGGCTCTTTTTAATTATTTACAACATGATATATAAACACAGTTTAAAATAAAGCACAAATTAAATAACAGGAACGAGTAAAATACATTATAAAGTGCTTCGCTGAAATAGTCCTATAAAGGTATATTGTAATGGAAAATAATGTTGTGTCCCCGAAACGGGATGCGATGTTAGTCGAACAATTTAATGCACTACATTTATGTGGCCCACGAAAACATCGATTTCATGTACTTACATATGGGTTACATAATTTCCATTGAATTATATTTTTCCTTAGATAATATTTCGTAATAAAGACATAGCAATATCTTGTTGAAAATGGCTCTGAGCAAAGAGTTTGAGTGAATTTTTCGAATTTGTGTTTGTTCATTATGTCTGTATGACTAATTCGTAAATGAAATTACACAAGCTTACCTGAAGATAAAGTGGACGAAGTGGATAAGCTTCATTTTGGACATGTGAAGCTGAATTACTCACAAGTAGGAATATAAATAGCGTTTCATATTTCCATTTTCATGGCCCAACCGAAAGACTTATTTAGGCTAAGTAGAGCGTAAGGACGAGAATTGCATCCGTGCTCTTGTCAGACCATTTCAAGTAGGTCAAACGCTCACTAAAAAGGTTTTCCTATTCAAAAAATCCTAGACATTCGTGAAAAAAAGTTAAAGCTTTACACGTAAACTTTGCGTCTAATTGACCGTGTTTCACAACGGCTAAACGAGATTTTGCTCCGCTATTTTCAGCAGGCGGCACGCTTTACGTTTCTGTGGAACGTTAATGTACGTTGCGATGTCTCTTTTTAGCAAATGTGTGTAAAAAATTTCAATTATTTTCTATTCTGTGGCATCATGGTTGGCAAAACCATGATGCTAAAAGAATATTTACAACTGATGTTTGTCGTTACAATAAAATATTTGCCTATCTTAAAATCGTGACATTAAATTAATGCATTAAGATTTGACAAAGCTACGAGTATAGTATTTTTTTATTTATTGACAAATATAAAGTTCGAAAGTCTAGAAGTAAACACAACCCAACACAAAATTTAAACACATATGTCGTTAGTTCCTCCTTTCTTTATCGTTGCTAAGATGATACATCTTTTAAGCGAACTAATATAATACAAGAAATTAGTTTTATCAGACACACACACATATATATATATATATATATATATATATATATATATATATATATATATATATATATATATATATAACACAGATTATTGATGAGAAGACGTGTATTCACTAAGATTTTTCAAAGACAGTTTCGCTGACACATAAGTTTGCGCTTGTACTTGCCTACTACTAGAGCTATAGTAGTAATATCAATGACACGGTGGTATATTTTAAATTCTTTATATTTGTCCAATCTATGAAATCCTTTCAGTGACCCTCGCCATTCTTGACAGAATAAATCATCTACCAGAGACTGCGCCAACAAATTGTTTGTCCACTCATCCAATCACGGTAATGCCCTGTACCAGGCTTATAAATAAATTATGTCCAACACTGTTTGCTCATAACGTCTAATAGGTTTACCTTATGGTTCGGTATTGACGGCACTCTAATGCCAATAGCCAATAATAAATCTATTTAATAATTCTACTGTCACAAAATTGTCGCAAAACTATTAGTATCTTTTAAATAAAACACTTTAACGATTTAAAACGAGATGTATTAGTTAAACTTATTTAAAAAAATTTTAAACGAAAAAAGATTTTTAACTTCGGCCCGACGTTTCGGATGCTTTGCAGCAGTCTCGGTTACAGCAGCCGTGGTCACGGGGAGACTATAGGTATATCGCATTTAAAACCGTAAAAGTGTTTTATTTTAATGTGTACTACTCGCGTAAACTATAGACATTATTTTATTAGTATGTCTTTAATAATAGCTGGACAGACTAGCGTGGGGTTGAACTGATTTGATGAAGCCATTTTGGCTTTGAATATTCAGAAATCCACAGACTAAATCAAGTATAATTACGAAACTAATAAGTTAGCTTAAAACTTTTTAAAACGTTGGGCCCTTGTTACTGTCAGTCCCGGTTATCTTTGCTAATTCAGGGATGATTTGCCATCGAAGGCAGCTAACTAAAGTTTTTTTAACGAGAGAAGTAATCTTTGCCCAGCATTGGAACATTATTAGCTTGAAGCGAAACAAAATGAAATAAATTGAGATTCGTTGCAGGAAGCTGATGACCGGAAACAAGATTGAACTGACCTTAACTCGTGTAATTGATTGTTGATTGAAAATTCTAGCAAATTGCCTTTGTAATTTGTTTCAATGGAGTTTCTTTAGACTATTAAACATTGTAATCGTCATTTTTTAAGTTCAGGTTCAGGCCCTTTATAGACATTTGTTACTTAGATATAAAAAGGGGATTTGTCACATAAAATCAACTACATTAAACTTTCTTTCAATTTCATACATTCAATGACACGCGGCTTAAAAAAATCCACTGAACGTGAATTGTACATACACCACATGAGAGATACCTATTTTACATAAAAGTTAACTTACGTAAATGCAACTGCAATTATACATACTTACATAGTAGTTAGCTTTTAACGTTGCTTATTATTTATTCTGAATCAAATCTAAATAAATATTAAAATTTTGTGTATTTTACTCGGGTCTTAAGTTTGATTCTTGTTACATTAATATAGTATTTTATTTAACGTTTTGACACGAAATAAGTATGTAATTGTGTGCTTTACTGTTTACCTTGAGCCTTATAGTATTTTTGGTATATCATGGTTACATAGTGTCTCTTATTGTAAAGTTATTCTAGTCCTCGACATTATTTTATCACAAAGCTTGTTATGGTTCCAAACTATCAATATTTGTATAGACCATTCACGATTGCAAAATTAGTGCGTGTTAGTCTGTGTAGTCTCGGAGTATAACACACTAAAAGCTACTAACAAACATGCATAACCTGACTTGAACCAGTGGGAAGAAATTTACATACGTCATTAAGTTAATAGTATTACTACACTTATAATTAATGAATTCTTCAAAAGTAATTTAAAATAAGAACATATTTTAGTTAACTGAGTGATGTTCAGGTTTCAACCAGCAGCTCTCAGTCTACCTGCAATGGTTCAATGCAACTCAAGGATGGCACAGATTTTGTCACCAAATAAAACTATTGGACTACATCTACGTTCAGTTGTAGTACTAGCAACAGTGGGCAAAGCCAGAAGATAAATGTGCAATGAAGTCTTTGAAAGACATTTTCTTTCTACTCCTCGCGATCGTGTTTACACACGGCGTGTATGTTGTAAAGGGTAAGTATTTGATTTTTGAATAATACACTCCGACAGTTTAAAAATTGATACTATTATTAGTATAAACATTTTAACTGCCAGTACTCGTCGCCCGCGACCTCGGCCCCTGAGAAGCAACCGTAACGTCGTTACAAATAGCTTAATTGTTATGTAGTCTTTAAATCCGTTACAGTTGTTTGTATTTAAAGTAACTTTCTAGAATATGGTCTATTTATTAAAAGAGCAACGATTAACTTAATAAACTACCTCATATTACAAATATCTTGCTGAATATAATATAAGAATAAATTAAGTTCTATTGATATAGCTCTCGACAACTAAATTTTAAAAATCAATTAACATATCTGGTAATTTGCTCATTATATATTGGAGGGTCCTGTCCCGACAATTGACTGCTAAAATACATGTACTTGACGGGTAAGCACGCACAAAACCTTTTCTGCAACGAAAATAAATTAATTATAAAACGGATTTAGAGTTATTTTTTCTCTTCTCTATTCTAACTCTAGTAGCTAATTGTGTCAAATGTGACCTAATAAAAGTGATTGATATCCGGATTAAGTTAACTGTTTCCTTAATACACTTTTAACGGTTTAAAACTTCTAACTTATTTACATTTTATTTTAAATACCGTTAAACGTGTTCCATTTAAGAGTGTACTCTCGGGCAACTGTTTCTTTTTAATATATTTTTGCAACCAATTAGGTTCTTATTCTTCCTACTTTTATAGCTTATCTTTAGTCTTATAGTTTAAAAAATATAATAGGAATGGTCTTACTTGCAATAACAACCTGATTTACAATGCGGTAGCCTTTCTGGTAATGATAGAACCCTTCGGGACATATCTTTATTCTCCCAACATGTGTATTCTTCTGTGAATGAACAGGATCTGTACACTTCGTTGTAGGGACATTCTTGTTCTGTAAATATTATTAATTTAGTTCACAAGTAAAAATCTCAAGGATATGGAATCATCATCTAGTCCGGCCAAACGTCGATTTTTCAAAGGTGAAGCGAATTGATTATTTCATTTAGATCGTTTAATAATTAAATTTCAAAAATAATATTGAAAATACGAATATTCGTGGGAGATAACCTACCCGATATATATGATAACAAAACTGTTTTTCAGGTAACTATGCTGAAAACGAATTATTTTTTTAACATTTAATTTATACGGTGGCCAAAGCAAAGAATCCGAAACGTCCCCAGCAGTTAACTAATATACTTCACTATTCAAACCGTTAAAATTGTTCAGTAGTTTACACGAATAGTACCTACACATTCGTAAGCTACAAGCAATACTTATAAAATATTAACCTACAGAATGTGCTAATAAAGGTATCTCTTGATTTATTATGAAATAATGGGATAAAGATTAGTTTACTAAATTTGTGTGTAGAATATTATTACTTACTAATCATAACAGCGACTCTATATTGTATGAATAAACAAAACACAATAACATTCGTTCCGTATTCCATTCTCGTGACGAGAACATGAAATATTGATAACGCGTATAATCCAAACCAAATTGCTAATCTATTACTACGTTTTAGATTCCAACCAAAATTAAACTTCTGTTTTAATTTTGTAATTTATGTAAACTAAACCAGATATTTCGAGAAAAAAAACATTGTCATGACCAACTAGATTCTACTGTGAAAAAAATCTTATTGTTTTAAAACTGAAGTTTTAGAGAAAGAAGTGAAGTTTTCGTGAAGAACTGAACTATACAAAATCTTTTAAAAAATTAAGTTCAAGTTCAAATCCACTTAAAAAATTTATGCACTAAGTGTTTTTTACTATGAATATATTTAACTTAAAATTAAAATTGGAACTAAGTAAAAAATCATTTAACTCTTGACTGAACACAACAATAAACATGCCTTAAATTGCTTAAAAAACAATGGATTCAAAAGAACTAATACAAGAAAGCTATAGATTAACAGAGTATACATTGAATAAGTATTTTAATCCTATCCAAAGTTGAAATAGGCCGACAACGCATCTTGTTTAGATGTTATATGGCTGACTTACACCTAGTATTAAGCCTCATGCTTATCTGACTTCCTCTATCATGAACACACATATATACGCCTAATTTTACTGTAAGATGCTTCTTATATGTAAATACTATTAATTGGTTATACTGTTTGACTTGTTAATTATAAAGACATAATAATCTTGCGAGGTAATTTCATCCTACAATGGTTAATAATCGAAATTGTAACTATTCAAATATGTTGATTAATCTCGAATTAATTAACACGGTGTGAATCGACACATCATATTCAATGTTACAAATGTTATACGTGTCCACCAGATTTAACTTAAATATATATTTTTAATTTAAATACTTTTAATGATTTCTAAGGCGAAATATATTACTAAGCCTTATTTTTATTTTAAACTACGACTAAACATTTCGTATACATTTCAAGTTCTCAACCAATAAATTTATTTTAAATAAAACAATTTTTACGGTTTAAAACACATAAATAAACAATAGATAACCTTCTTTTTTATTTATTTCAAACTACGACCGGACGCATCGGATGCATTGGACGATTATATAGCGTTAAAAAGGTTTTATTTAAATTTGTACCAAATACTCGATTTTCAACTAATATATCGCGTTTTAAACCGTTAAAGTGTTTCATTTAAAAAATATAATTTATAACGTATGATTGTGCGTTACCATTGTGTTTTTAGTAAATACCTACACTTGTTTTAGTAATCTATGTTTTTCAGACGAATGTCCTACCAATGAGGAGTATCTTCTATGTGGCTCTTCTTGTCCTTTTAATTGCTCTTCCCCACAAGGGCCGGTGGATTGTATCGACGACTGCGTGGAAGGATGTTTCTGTAAAGCTGGCTTTTTGAGAAGTGATAACGGGACATGTGTTGAGGCGGAACAGTGTCTCGATGGTACGTTTTACGAGATAATTAAAGGAAATTCAATATACGTTTTGACTGTTTAAATAAAACAATTTAACGATACGCGATATATATTAGTCAACGTGGTCAGCGCTGCTGCAAAACCTCCGAAACGTCGGGCTGTAGTTTAAATAATTACCAAATAAGTTTAACTAATATACATATATCGCGTTTTAAACCGTTAAAATGTTATATTCAAAAGTGTAGTATTTAAGATTTCACTTTTCATCTTTTATTGATGGTGCGAGCGTTTTCCCATGGAAACAAATTTTCTTCTTTTCTGAGAAATAACTCCGGGATCTCTCGTAGAAGATATTAAATTTTGTGTCGTAGACCCTTTGCCATGTTTTTCCGTGTTGGGTGGATCCCCTATTTCCCTGATATTGATTTCCAGTAAATTTTAAACTGTATTGTGTAGTTAAGTGTTATAAACTTAAAGTAATAACACATGTACACACACACACGCATGCACATAATAATTTGTTTACTTCATAAGTACTTTAGCCTTGCAGTCTTGCAGCCTTGCAGTCCTAAAGTGGTCTAGGCGCTGCAGTGAAAAAAAAACTTTTTATCCCTATCTTGCTGCATAGAGGGGTAAAACCTCTGCTACTTGCTAATAAACGTGAAAAGTTTTCCAATTGTTTTGTATAAGTTAACTAAAAATATATCGTCTATAAAAGGAAATACATCATGCGGTGAAAATGAGGAATTCCTTCAGTGTGGATGTGATGCCACCTGTTCCACTCCAGAACCTGGGGATTGTGGGTGTTCTGTGGGGTGTTTCTGTAAAGCTGGCTACGTGAGGGACGAGGCGATAAAGAAATGTGTTAGACTGGATAATTGTACTGCGGGTAAGTTATACAAAATTCTATGTCACACATGACGCTTAAACTATATAGCAATAGATGACGTAGGTACTCCACTGAGTTAATACTTTTACACAAAAAAAGAGCATTTCTAACGCACTATTTATTTTAAAACACTTTAACGGTTTAAAACGTGATATTTATTAGTCAACTTATTTGAAATTTGTTTTAACTACGGCCCGACGTTTGGGATGCTTTGTAGTATACATTGCGTTTAAAACCGTTAGTTTGTTTTATTTTAATGTCTACTACTCGCGTAAAAACTTTCAAATATCTAAGTAAAGCTGTTAACTTTACTTCACTGTGTTTTTACTGTGTAATTTTAAATGAAATATTTTTACTTAATATATTTCTGTCATGTGAAAACAATAAAGTTAAGTCTTTTTTGAATTTTACAGAACAGTGCTTCAATGAAAACGAAGTGTTTGATATATGCAGTGCAGCGTGTGAACCGACTTGCGATGATCCAGAACCTTTTTGCGCTAAAATCTGCACCTCAGGCTGCGTATGCGCAAGTGGCTTACTTCGAGATTTAAACGGTACTTGTGTGAGCGTAGATAAATGTCCTAGGACGAATGGGACCATACCGGGACCTCTAGGAAAGTACTTTGATACTATTAGCAAAATTTTACATTTGTCTATAGTTTAAGAACAATAAAACTATAAATAAATAAAATAGTAACGTCAAAACCTGTAACTATGGTTACGTGGTAATTATTATTAATATTCAGTAATATCTTTAAAATGTCTAAAATGATAAATGTAATTGAAAAAAGTGGCTGTAAGCTTTAGTAAATTAAAATATTATAAATAATTATTAATTTATAGAACATTTTGTGTAATAGGCATTAAGGTATGGTAGCAAAGTATTTTATTAGAATAAAACACGTCCGGAAATTATAAAATTATGTATTTAATGCCGTATATAAACAATATAGATAAGCTTATAAGGTAATTATTATATAATAACCTTTTACTGGCATTTCTCATTGGTATTGTTACAATGTTCGCCACCTGAAATATTTGAATAATACAATTATTAAAGTTAATTATTTAAACAAAACAATTTACTTAAGCGCCACCTGTCAATTATTTACTAAATTAGGGCTTGGCAAATTGTAAGAATAACTGAAAAGGCAAATTAAAAGAACTGTTTTTGTTCTATTAAGTACTATATAGTTCTTACACATTTCAACAGATGGCAGTTTTATCAATAAGCTAAAATTCATTTACGTCTTGTTAAAAATATGATGTTTAAATAAATCTTTTCAATAATTTTAGATTAACAGGGTTAACAAAAAGATACGGTTATGATATAAACTTTGTGAGAAACACAATGAACTATTCATTGATTATACTATTAAGTTTTTCTAAAGCAGTTTACTTGATTTTAAAGACAGGGAATTTAGTCCGTCAATAAAACGAATATGTAAACTAACCTACGAGGGAGGGGGATACGAAGCAGTGTTCACCTTTTTATATTCCTCTTCTCTTATGCCATACGCCAAGTAGGAGTAAGTCAAGAAGTCACTCTGGTTGGACACCAGCTGAAGCACCATACTCGTGTCACCAGTTCGACCTCGAACAACAGTGAAGTCCACCACACCATCTAACACGACCGTTGCGGACACTTCTATGTAAGATATAACGTAGCCGTTCTGAAAAAGCCCTAAATGTTAACAAATCATGAAAACCAAAAAGAAAAACTGACTTATAATACTTGTCCTGCTGCGTAATCCGTGTTTTGTCAGATGCTAATTCTTTAAGGGATCAAACCGTGAGTCTTTGCATAACGGTTCATGCTATTTTAAAATACGTTTAACGGTTTAAAACGAGCATTTTTGTGTTATATTATTTGTACTACGACCGGATAGCTTGTATGCTTTTCAGCAGCCGTGGTTTAGTACCACTCATATAAACGGACATTTTCATTTAAACTAGCTGCTATCCATGACGTCGTCCGTGTCTCGTCGTTCTTGCGACTGAAACTTATAGATTTATGTCTACTACTCTACATATTTTATACGGTATCTTGAACCGATTTCACAGCGCACGCTTCGAAGCTCTGGCAGATGAATAATATTCCCTGTATTTTCCACTTCTTCCACTGTTGCTACGCTCCAAAACGTCACATCGTGATGTTTTGTAGCCTAAAGTCTTCCCCGATAAAAGTCCTAACTAAAAAAAAAAATAGTCCAGTTCGAACTAGTAGTTCCAGAGATAAGCTTTATAATATTAGTATAGATTATTTTCATGACATCCACGCAGCATTTAAGGAAATTACGAGTAATTTTGTAGATAAGGATGTATTTGTATAAAATCTAGAGAATGTAAGCAATCAGTAATCTATACCTGCTTGTAAATTGGGTCGCATAGAGTTTTGCAAAAAAAAAAAACCGATTCTAGGTCCATACGGTTTCCGCTAACATAGTTCTATATCTGACCGCAGAGTACCCGATTTGATAATAGCATTATTTCACTATCGCAAGAGGTCGTTAAGAGGGAGTGGAGAGGGATGTTAACACTCTAATGAAACACGAGGTCCCGTCCCCGATTTTCGGAAAAGTACCAATTACTACCGCCATTTGTGGAAACATTTCCGGTTTAGATCGAGAGCTAGTGGGCGAAATTGAAGAATTTTAAATGATAAGGTTTTTATAAAAATTGTTAACACAGAATAAATATGAGCCGCTGTCTTGCGAATTTCGGCGGTATTCCAATACCACCAGCTTGAGATTTAGATACCTGAAAGCTCGTAATAAACTCGTAATAACTCTTATAAAAACTACGACATACGGTCTCAAATAAATAAGAATCTATTTATAAATACATCGGTGACGATGATGTTCAATGTTTAACTTTCAATTAAACACTAAACGGTTTATAACGCGAAATATATAAGTTAAATTATTGATCTCGGGAGATAGCTGTTATAAAGCATCAGAAACGTCAAATAAATTAAAAAGAATTTACCCTTAATTTTAAACCGTTAAAGTGTTTTATTTAAATTATTGAATACACATTTAAATACTCACACACACACACACACACTCGCGCAAACTATATAACAAGACTATATTTAACCTATTTAGAAATAAACTAAGTAAATACGTCAGTTTACAAATTCACTGGCTCTCAGACTATATTGGTGAAACCGTTTTATTTTCGAGGTTCTTCGATCTTGTATTTGTGGCCTCTGTTTAGGTTTGGGTTGCAATCGCTGTATTTTACTGCCACTCAACGATCTCCGGAATTAGATATAATTTTCTCCACCGCCGAAAGAAATATGGTGGATACATCAATAGATATATATATATGTCGCGTAATGACATTTATTATTTTTAGCTAAGCCCGATACTACGTTCGCGTGGAAAAGATATTTTGCGCATCAAAACTTATTTTTGTAAACATTTTATCTTTTTTTCATATTATTGAAAGAGGACTCATTCTATCGAAAACATTTATTGGTCTTTTTAATCGTTTTCCAAAGCATTGAAGACGGTAAGTTTCCCCCCGATTTTTTTCACACTTACCACTGTTTCTTCGCCACTATTGGTCGCATTGTTATATTATATAGCCTAAAGCCTTCTACAAAAAACTCAAACCTGGAGTTCCTGAACTTATCAAGTCCAAACAAACAAACTTACACGTTAGCTTTTTAATATTAGTATATAGACGATTTGGGGAGATTCAAACCAAGGACCTCTCACGTTTAATTCAATTCACCATTGACAGTCAAACAGCCAACTAAATTCAGATGTCTTAGATAACTTAATTCTAACGCCTTCATCGTTACTAATGACAAGCATATAACACGTGTTTGTGATGTCTCTTTTGAATTCCTTAATTTCTATAATTTACGCGGGTAAACGTTATTGTATGAACATAACGTGTTGGAACGTTTACAAGTAACCCTTTGAGTTTAAATAAATTATTTTTCGCTCTTTACTCTCTACATTGATTAAAAACGTGTCAACCGGAGCTCTTTTCGAAATAAATTAATTACATTAACACGTGTACGTTAATGCGTATGTACTTTTGATCCAACAGTAAATAATGGATTCGTTTTTTGAACCGCTTTTAAATGTTTAAAATACTTAATATAATACGTTTCGGTATTTGTTAAACTTAAACCATTATTTCAACAGATGGCTCTGGCGTAACATAACATTTTGATTGTTACATTAGGGACCCCCACAATCTTCACTCCCCTCGTGACCGCGGCTGCTACAAATTATTCGAAACGTCGGGCCGTTGTTTAAATAATTGGGTGAGAAAAATAAGGTTAACTAATACATTTCAGATGATATCATTTATACACCACAGACAATACAGAAAATAACACAAAAATGCAATCAAATATGGAATTACACCACTCAGTTTTACTACCTATAGGCACAACGCTGTTTTTCAGTGAATCGACACATAACTCAAAATGTTTACATTAAAAAAATAACAAACACATAAAATAGAAATATGATGCAACAAAAATACACATATTTTTTATATGTGACCAATACGGCCTCTGAAATCCCCAGGTACTAATTTTTGTACCTTAATTTAAAAGTATTAACTTTTAAGCCGTTAAAATTGTTTTATTGCATAAAACTTTTCAGTAAAGAAATCTTACCTTTGCTGTCGCCGTGATGGCAACAAAGAATGGATCATAGTTGTTCCTATGTTTGAGTCTGTCTGAAGCTCCACTCATTGGCAAGGAACCTTAAAAAAGAAGGTATTATTTTTAACTCAAACCAATGAAAATTTGGGAAATGACTCGATAGCTTATTTGCGTACAAAAATATTGAAAATGGAATCGAACTTTACCGTGTATGTTTTTAAAACAACGGATATCGTAGTCTAGTTAATGCGGGTAGTACACATTTAAATAAAATACTTTAACGGTTTAAAACGCGATATATATTATTTAAACTGTGAAAATTATATTAACTAGGGCCTGACATTTCGGATGCTTTGCAGCAGCCGCGGAGACGGGGTTGTCCGAACCGTTGGGCCATGGTTAAAATATTTTTTAAATAAGTTTAACTAATACATATCGCGTGTAGAACACGGGTAAGACCGTAGCAAATATTCGTGTCGAATAATCTTAATCCTCGCTTACTGATACAATAAAGGCAGGAGTTTCTTGGAATGGGTTGACATTTTACGTTTAAAGTACTCAACATATTGTCATAATCAGTAATATCTAGAACTAGCCGACCTGGCAAACATTCTTATGCTATATGAAGTCTTTCGCCAAAATTTGACTCCTATAAAAAACGGTTACTGAGAGATTATCATTAAAAATTGACATATACTGTCACTAACACTTTTTTATTTACATTATTTCTAGGAGAATACTTCTTTTATACATATTCAGCGCCCGTAATGAAAACCCTCAAAGATGAAGAATTTTCCCTGTTCGTTCCATAATTCCCTCCGCTCCCATTGGTTTCTGCGTGATATTATATAACCCAACCAATACAAAAAAAAAAACAATCATTTCGAACCAGTAGGATCTCAGATAAGCGCAAGCAAACAAACGCTTCAGCTATATAATATTAGTATAGATTACATGTGTATTACATTTTGACGGTTTTATTCGTCTGTAATCTACTCAAATGCTTCAATACTTATATTTTAAGCAGCAAACGCGTCTTACTATATTTTGACATTTTAAGCTCACTAGATGGATTATAATCCAACTGTGATAAAAAGCTTACCTTCATACTCAATTCCAACTTTGAAATGCTTAGTCAGATATTCCTGTGGGTAGCCACAAACAAGACTAACGACAAACAAACAAAAAAACGTGTATCCTAACATTTTGTGTTTTCGGTAACTTGAGTTAATATTGACTGACGATTTGTGAGTTATCAATGCTCAGGAGATAAGATCATTCGGCTGTGTGCATATTGTACTTACATGTGTAGTATTTTTAAATAAAACACTTTAACGGTTTAAAACGCGATATATTGGTTAAACTTATTTGAAAATGATTTTTAACTTCGGCCCGACGTTTCGGATGCTTTGCAGCAGCCATGGTCACGGGGAGGGAGACGGGGTTATTTAAATGTGCAGCATTTTTTCATTAGAATCCTGATAGTATGTATGTATTTGTGAACTGGGTACTAAAGATAGTATTATGGCACAACTTTCTGAAAAGTCTTGTCAAAATTTTCAAGGTCAAAATTTTATTAAAATAAATCTATCTATATAAACATCTCTTGTTCGAACTATCGATTTGTTCGACTTCTTCTATAGTTAAATGGTAGATCATCTTGCCTAGCACTGCCTTAAGCGCGAGAGGTTCTAGGTTCGAATCAATAAATTATTCCTATCGAGCAGGGCATAGAAATCTGATCAACTATGTATTGTGTATTTGATACTTTAAATTCGCTACTCTGCTTTTCAAACTTTTAACTGAGTTAAATAGTAATAAATACGACATGTTATTGTGGACTCGGCCTATTATTTGTTGAGTATAGAACAAACTGTAACGAGTAATAGACATCTAGATGAGAATGTGAGATCATTTCGAAACTGCGATATCTTATCTTTGCAACTGTATCGATACTGCCGATACCCGGTTCGAGGAATTCTTCATTGCTAACATTGCTAACGATAAATTGTTTAAGAAACGTTTCTCGTATCGATATTTAACGTCCTGCCCGAGTCGAAAATTTTTCATTTTATTTTCGATTTTTTAAACCTTTTTGTGTTGGTTAGACCATTTATTAAGGAAGGTTATAGGCTATAAAACAATACTTTGCGACTATTAGGAGCGAAGGAACAGCGGGAAATGTAACTAACACTCTGACAGGAGAATTGCATATATTACATTTATAAATTTGAACAGGTTACGTTACAGTTGAACAGGGAACAGTTCTATTCTACGGACGCAGTCGCTGACACAGCTAGTAAGCTATAAATGTATGATAAATAAATAAATGGCACGGTCTAGTCGACCAGGGCACAAAATGGTGATCAGCATTTTGGGTTTTCAACTTTTTCAGCAGGAGGTACCTCTATGAGCCGAATTTTAATCAATGTAATTGATTATAACTTAAGAGCAAATTAAATAGCCATTCCGCTAAATTAAAATGCTCTGTTTCATTACTTAGTAACCGCGTTTTCGTGTAATTAATATCAATTTTGGCTTCCCAACGAATTTTGGCCCAAATTGTGTGACAAATGACCCTAATAAACAACCATTATGGACTTTACTTACAGGTGTATATTTATACCGATATTAACAATAGATAATTTAAGTAAAACATCGTAATGGTATATATTTCAGTTAAACTTATTTGAAAATTATTTTAACTATGGTCCGATGTTTCATATGCTTCGCAGCATCCGTGGTCACGGGGAGACTAAGAATAGAGGGTGTCTCTGACGTCAAAGTAAAAATATTGAGCCTCCCCGTGGCCATGCCTACTGAAAAGCATCTGAAACGTCGGGCCGTAGTTAAAATGTGTACTACTCGGCATTTTCGTAAACTACACACAATATTTAACAGATAATCTATACAAAGAAAAAATTTCGTAATTATTTCAAAATCTTATACGTACTCAAAAGATATTAAAAGCGCAAATTGTTGTATTATGAGTCCTACTGATGGTTCAGTTTTAGTACCAGTAGTCGCGATCTCTGGGGGGCTGAAGATGAACAAAGTCAAAGTGAATCTGCTATACTAGCGCCATCTGTTTCGTCCTAGTTATTATTTTAAGAAACTGTTTTGTACTTACATAACTGACTCAAGATGTCCTCTGGTTTTATGGATTGCTGTTTTTCAAATCGAGAGGATTTAAGTTATCATAATAAAAATATTTCGTGTTTTAAACCGTCAAAAGAGCGTTTTTCAACGTGTCCTACTCGCGTAAACTACAGACAAAATGCTAGGCATATTTTATTATTGAGCTACAGAAGTGGTGTCTAGGACAGCAAAAATGAGTGTCTTTTTTACTGCTCTATCGTCTACAAGTAAGGAGCTAGAACTTAGAACCAATCCAAACGCTGTTATAAGTATCTGCGGTTTTAAACTAACATTAAGTAACTAAATTAATACACAAACCATAAGGCAGTGAAATTATTTAGTGAGCTATGCCATAAATATCCAGTTTAGTGCCAAGACCCCTCAGGTCTAAATTAGAACTTTAGGTCTTGCGACGGCGCCCTAGGGTCTAGCGAGTTTAACCTGCAGTTAATTTATCATTGGAAGCTAATTGTTTTGAATGGTTAGACTACTTGGGTGAATATAAATTCGATTAACTATACGAAAATGTATGATAATCGTTATACAGACACCGCTATGACGATAATGATTCACTTAGAATTTAATATAAAGTTATATCATTATATGATAATAATTTTCTCAATTACATCGGTATTATTGCTGTAGTTGTTAACAGTTCGTTTTGAAGTCACTGTTAAATAAAATTAATAGTAAAGCAGATACTAACTAGATTATGGGCCAAATTATTACTTTATATTACTATGTAATTGTAAGACTGGCGAGAAATAGCTTTGAATACAAATAAAATTAGTACTCAAAGCATTGGTAATACAAACAAAGAAAGTACAAGGGTCAAATACTGTCTATAGTTTACGGGGAGACTCCCCGTGACCACGGCTGCTGCAAAGCATCCGAAACGTCGGGCCGAAGTTAAAAATCATTTTCAAATAAGTTTAACTAATATATCGCGTTTTAATCCGTTAAAGTGTTTTATTTGAAAGTACAAGGGTCTGCAAAATAATGCATTAATTAAATTGTTATTATTGGCATTGGTTAAATTTGTTTATGCGCAAGAGGAGTAATCGTGTCTACGGAAAATTTCAAGGACTATTTACTTTTTTTTCGAATAATTTTGATGCTAAATTTTGCTTTAAGTGGCTTAAATGAATAAGTGGTAAACCCCGTGAAAATTCACGCTTCGCAAAATCACAAAAGGTTAGATTTCGTTGAAATACCAATATTAGTACAATATGTATTTGAGCGTGTAATGGTCGGTTTTATTTTGAAGCAAGGGTGACTGCAGTGCGTCCACAGGTGGTGGGGGGTTGAGATTTTCCTCCCAGCCTCCAGTACCCAATTCACCGGCTGGGGAGCGGACGCGCCGCTCACCCGCTGAACTCGCGAAATATGTGAAAATGTTATGTGATTTTTTTCGGGACAATCAATTATGTTGTGAGAAATGGATGGCGAGAACAGAATTATTCTTAACGTTGGCGGTATTAGGTGAGCGACAATTATTATTAGATATATTTCGTAACCATTTGCTTTACAATTATTTCAAAATTTTAACAGTTAGTAGTACTATTATTAAGTACTTCGACGTACTTAGGAAATTATAAAATTCGAAAATATACATTACATATCTACATAAATGTTTATGTTTGTATTCTTCAAAATTGTGCTAAAATACTGTGAATTAACTATTAAAAACGCTTAATTTAAGCTACCAGCTTTGAAAATAACTATAAATCAGTATACATGTTATGGTATGTATGTTTGTCTGCTATTATCTGCTACTATAAATGGTACTCAAAGAGAGATATTTGCACTCTACGTTTTTAATTACTACAAATTAACAATACATATATTGTTTATTAGTATTTCAATAGGAATATAAGTATAGAGGGATTTATTTATTAGAAAAGATATGTATGCTTATGATGTTATACATAAATGATATTTAGTAAGCTATAATTTGAACAGACTGTCTGTAGTTAACGCGAGTCTCCCCGTGACCACGGCTAGTACAAAGCATTCGAAACGTTGTGCCGTAGTAAAAATAAGTTTCACTAATATATATCCTGTTTTAAACTTGTAAGTGTTATCAAACATATTTAGCTTCTTTAGAGCACGCACATTACTGTTACATACTGATTCAATACGACACACAGATTCATGTGTCTTCATGACCCATGTAGGGAAGCACAATCTCTTACTGTATTGTTTTGTCATTACAAAGGAGTCTCTTAAGTCCTTTAAGAAGCGATACTAAGTTGTGTAATATTGTATTTACATTACATAGGGCCAAACATCATTGTAAGATGGAGCACTATTGTTTACTTAGAATTTATTTTAATCGAAATGATTTAATTTTAAGGTATTTCCCATTCAGATTACAAAATCTGAATGGGAAACTTATTAATAAAATATATACATTATTACTACTCTTCACGCGGGTAGTTTGTAATAAAATCTTAATAAACTATAAATAGCTGACGCAATAATATCTTGCCGATAAGAAACAATGATAAATAAACGCGATTAAAATTTAAAAAATAATATCTGAAGTAAAAAAAAAGTAAAAATTATATATTTATATTAGAATAAAAAATTATATATAGGAAAGTTACTATATGTTATTTGATTATTGAAGAATTAAGAAAGATTTAGCCTACTTTTGAAAATACTAAGTAAAGTTGAATCTCTTACACTTTTTGGCAAACTATTAAATAAATGTGCCCCAGAGAAAGTTATCGAGTTCTTGCCATAATTCGTGCGTATGTTGTGTAGAGATAATAAGCTAGCACGTCTGGTCTTATAAAATTTAGTTAAACAGATTTTTTTTTCAAAAATTATATAGACGAATTTAAATTGTTAATTATTTTTATATGAGAATGCAAGTACTATATTTATTAAGTTGCTGAATAGTAAATAGTTTTGTTACAGAAAAAAAACTTTTTTTTACGATGTTCGGAAATCATATTTATATAAATGTAATTTTTGTAGCGGTTTTTTATTTGTCTTCGAAGCGCACCCATACTTCAATAAGGTAAAGTAAGTGTGACTAAGCTATTGTAAATTAGTTTTCTCACTTTACGTGGGTTGCAATTTGCAATAGTATAAAACATTTCTGGTACCAGCCGGGAGTTTGAAACCAAGAGTTATCATCATCTCCGTACCACTCAGACCACATTAACCCATCCATCCTAATCATCCCCACTAATTTGTTGCTGGTTAATCTTTTAAGCCCGCCAACCCATACTGAAATAGCGTGGTAGGTCGAAGCTTATCCACTTAAGCCCCTACTTGAACGTTAATAGGTAATAATGGCTTTATGAAGCGTTTGGACAGGAAGGAATATCGGGTGACGAACCACCGTCCACAGATATAAAAGCCGTCCAGTTTAATCGCGCTTTGTTTCCGTCTGTGAATTTACAAATATCCTAATCTAACATAGGTCGACAGCGTATCAAAATCATAAAAAGTGTGAAAGCCCGTTTCCCCCTCGCGGGGCATGGGACGAACACATTTCTGTGTCCGTTTCACTGATTCTTTCTTTTAAGGGGCAAGTAGTTGATCAGACTTCTGTGCCCTGCCCGATCAAAACAATTTTATATTCCCCTGGGATTCAAACCCAGGACCTCTCGCGCTTAACGCAATGCTAGGCAATACGTTTAACCATTTGGCTACAGAGGCGGTCAAAGAAAAAATAACAGTAGTATTAAATTATTATTTTTAATTAGTTTTGTTTTGTCAATGACTTTTTGTTGTTGTTTGTTGGCCATTCCGCCAAAAACTCTCTGCGAAGTATTATATTTAAATTTAAAAAATAAACGATGATCATTAAAAATGCAAATTATCATACACACACGTTACAACGAGTACATTACACACAATCGGTCACCTTTTATTCTGCAAATTGATGACTTCAATAATATTTTACTATATAATTTAAATATTGTAACATGTATAATTTTGTATTTAATAGGATTTAATAAACTACGAAATTCATGTGGGCTTATTACTAGTTGTGACATCGACAGCGGAGAATAGTTGTTTTGGGCAAAAAATATGTTTTTGCAAACTTCTTCTCATCTTTTTAAATTGAAGCTGCTTGAAGCAAGTTTATCTTAAAATGTGATGATTTAAAGATTAATCATTCTTTCACAAATTACTTTTGGGTACCTTGAAACGTTGGGTACCTTACCTTCCCGGTCTTCCTTCACTCCACTTAGCCTATAAACTCCCTCGATAAATGCTCTAACCAACAGAAAAATAATTTTAAAATTCGAATCAGTAGTTCCAGAAATTAGCGCGATCAAACAAACGAACTAGTATAAAGTATATGTGATATTTTACAATAATTAGATGTATTCCCAGTTGTTCGCAAAAAATATGTTACCTGCATCTAGTGATTGGTGTAAAACGAGGGAATTTAATTAAGGGGATTTTTAATAAAGGGTTACAAAAGTTAATGGGAAGAAAAATTTTAACATTTTGCCGGCTTTGTCAAAATTGTACGAGCTCCGATGTAGTCGTGGTAGGAAAATTGAAAATCGTTAGAATCACATGCCGTTAAAAGACGTGTAGTGTGTGTAATTGCGTTTCGTAGTCGTCCTATCATTTTTCGAACGAGCATTTTATTCACTAGATAAGATATACATTTATAGATAAACAGTTTGATTTTTCTAATAGTGTGTAGATTCAAGATCTAATGGTTACTGTACATGTGCATGAAGACGAATCCGTCTTGTGTATATGTATGTACCATTATGAGGTAGAAAATAGTTTCCTTACGGCCCCCGTCTACCTCGGTTTCTATTCTCATGCAAATAAGAACTATTTTTAGATCTTCTATTTTTCTATATATTCTTCTATTTTTATACATTACAATTATATTACTGAAAATAAAATTCTTGTCGGGCGTGCTGAGACACGAATAAGCAATGGTAACAACCTACTAACAATCAACGTCGATCGTCTTACTACATAAATCTGTGTCTATATGGACGTTGCCTAGCATTACTCGATAGGTTCGAATCCCGGGGAAAAAATATTTTGTTACGGTCGGGCAGGGCACTGAAGTTTGTTTAACAAATTAAAAAAAAAAACCGATCACCCCATACGTGGAGTATACGTATACGTGGAGTGAAGGAAGCGGGATTTCCCACAAATAGACTGTAAAAACATTGCTCTTCCCATTCCCTTCGTGTTCGGTTAAAAACAAAGTATCTTATAAATCAGTTCAGAGTAAAGACAGATCACATAAGCAAATACATTTCCCATCATAATGGCCGTCGTACACTGAATGATTACAGCTTTCAATCAAAATTCAATCATGATCCGCCATTCACACGCACAGACTATAAATAAATTGATATAATTAACTTCGACACGTCGCTGTAAGCTGTTATTACTGTTTTCATAGTGCTTACAATTCCCTTATAAGCTGTGAAATATATAAGGCATGGTGCAGACATATTGTGTCTGTTTTCAATATCGTAAATGTAATTTTTTTATGATAGACGAGAACGAGCTTGGGGCTCACTTGATGATAAATACCCAGCCTTATAACATCTAAACAAGATGCGCCGTCGACCAATTTCGGCTTTGGATATTCGGAAATCTACAGAATGAAACTGAAACGCGATTAAATTTGATGCTTTTTTCATGTGAGGTGGCTAGTGACCCGTGTGGAATTTCGATATACCTACAATTCATTTAATACCCAGTTCCAGTTTCCAGACGGCATACAAGTCTGGTAACTTACTTGTTCGGAAATATAATACATCAGTTAAATGGAGTGAAATGTGTTAGCCCATTATATAATAATACAATCTTAATGTACCTGTCTGTGTTCACGAGAACATCATCGAAACAGCAATAATATATACATACATTTCTAAACAAGAACAATAATCGGTTTGAATCGAATTTAACAAAAAATAATTCGCGCAAATTTTACAGCTTCAAACTGAATTTTTAGACATTCAACGCGTGTTTTGTGTAAAAATATTATTACATTGTTCCCCGGAATAGAATTGTGGATGCAAATTTTTGGACGAGAATTTACATAATTTTCTTGATTTTAAAGTTTTATGGACTTTTTGGTTGTAATCAGGACATTGAAATGAAAATTAAGTTGAAACATTCTACGATATCGGTTTAAGCCTGTATCGGGATTGGAAGCTAGACTTAAGTACTGTGATATACACAAACTTAAACTGATAAAAGGTAGCAGTATATTCATTTGCAGAACAGCATTTTAGGTGCATCTCTGACTGGTTTGAATCCCGTCTTCGTCATGTTCTTAAAGCGGATGATTAGAATTTAATCAAAGTTGGTCAGCATTGTCACGTCAAAAAAAGCTGCTTATTGCTAGGTGAATTGGCTACAAAAGCGTCACAAAACTCCGTTTACAAGCTCACAATTTGAAAGAGTCTAGATTGTCTTTTTGGAAAGTCATTGTGTTCCTCCGAGCAACAGTTTCATGGAAAATTTGA